CAAATGAGTTGACCCACTCGTAAAGGACATTGCTGCCAGACTAGGTCTGCAGCAGATGGTGAGGGAATTAATGGGAAAAGCATATTTGACTTCATCCTCACCAATATGCCTGCATCTGTCCATGACAGTATTGGTAAGAGTGAACACAACACAGACCTTGTGGAGACCAAGTCCTGTCTTCACACTGAGAATCCCTCCATCATGTTGTGTGGTTCTATCACAGTGCTAAATGGGATAAACTCAGAATCAATCTAGCAACTCAAAACTGGACATACATGCGGTGCTGTGATCTATCAGCAGCAGCAACATTGTACTTGAACACCAATATGCAACCTCATGGCCCAACTCACTCCTTACTGTACCGTTACCATCAAAGAAGGAATCAATCCTACTTCAGTCAATAGCACAGAGAGTATGCCAGGAACAATACTAGAATATCTAAATTTGGTGAAGTTACAACATCGTACTACTTGCATGCCTTCAGCATAAGCAGGAAGTGAAAGACAGAACTAAATAATTCCACAGCCAACAGATCAGATCTAGATTCGACAGTCCTGCCACTTCCAGTAAGAATGGTGATGGACAAATAACAACCCCAAAGGAAGTCTCATTGAAAGAAAGAACAGACCCAAGGGTCTGTATGGCCTATTCCTGTTCCCATGTTCTTAGAAGGAGGCTCCACGAATATTCCAATTGTCAATAATAGGGGAGCCTATCAATGCAATGAACTAAAGCTGAAACATTTGCAACAAACTTCAACCAGACGTATCAAATGGAACTGTCCTGGTCTCCTCAATAGTTGCCCAGCATCAGAAAAGCTAGTCTTCAGCCAGTTCATTCCACATGATATCATGTGGGGTTAGTTCTGAAGAACAAGTCTCCAGTACAAAGCTTTGCAGTATCTAATATCTTCAACCATTTTTTGATATCACGTACAGTGAATCAAATCAATTGTATCTGTGCTGCCTGAGGCCTTACTACAGCACTAGGATAGATTTACACACTCAGTACTTCTGGATAAAGATGGTTGCAAATGCTTCAGCCTTGACTTTAGTGCTGAGGTACCAACTTCCCTCATCACTGGGATGGTAATTCTAGAGATTCCACTCTCTATTAATTGTTCAACCGTCCACTTACAGGGCAGTCCACACGCGTTCCTTGGAGATATACATGACATCAAAGTGACTGGACAGGGTGAATACTGAAAAGGGCTACCTCTTGAGAGCTACTGAAGGCATTTCAAATTGTTGGATCTTCCATTTAAGACAGAGATAAGGTGGGTTAAGTGGAGTAGGTGTCAGTTGGAGAACTATTGGGAAGAGTGATTATAGCATCATAACATTTAGTTAACCATGGAAAAGGACAAGGAGCAACCTAAAGTAAGATATGCAATTGAAAGCAGGCTTTCCTCCATGGGGTGAGAATAGACCTATCTCAGGTAATTTCAAAATCAAAGTTTGGCCTGCAAAACTATCGCGGAGTAATCAGCTGACTTTAAAAAGGGAGAGATGATTCATATACAATGATGGTACATTCCCATGAGCAGAAAAGGTAGACCAACCAAAGCTGAAGCTCTTCAGATAACAAGAAATAAAGGGTATGATAAAACAATAAAAGGGGCTTTATGACAAACGTGAGGGTAATCAGACAAGTGAGATTTAGGCTGAAAGTAAATAATCCAGAAGTGAACTGAGAAAGGAAATCAGAGAGCCAGAGAGAGAGATAACAAAAGGCCAGCTTGCACAAAAGGGGATCCAAGTCTTCTGCAAGTATATAAATAGTAAAAACGTAGCAAGGCAGAAGAATGGGATTGATTAGAAATCAAAAAGCATCCACTTGTAAAGGTTGAGAATACTACTGAGGTATTAATTGAGTACTTTTTCTACACTTAATTCAAAGTCATAGTGAAAGAGTGGGTAAGTTGAGGCTATAATTTGGTAAAAAGGCATCTGAAAATCTGGCAACTTTTAAGATTGATAATGTCATGAAGACTTAATGAAATGTAGCCAAAGATTCTAAGACAAGTAAGGGAGGGAACAGCAGAGGCTTGACTAGAAATTTCCAAGCTGCATTAAATACAGGGATAGTGCCTGAGGACAAGAAAACTGTAAATGTCACATTTTCATTTAAACAAGGCTAGAAGGATAAACACAGCAAACACAGGCCATACAGTTTGACTACTGGCTGTGACAAAGCTTTAGAGATGATATACTGGGTCTAAATTAGCAGCCACTTGGACAAATTCAGATTATAGTAATTAGTGAAAGCCAGCATAAATTGGATAAAGGCATATCATGTTTAACTAATGACTTTTTTTTAAAATGAGGTAACAAGAGATGATTGAGGAGGGTAATACTGTTGATACGGTATATATAAATTTCCAAAAGGCATTTGATAAAATTCCACTTTATAAACTTGCCGGCAAAGTTGAAACCAATAGAATAAATCAATATTGGTAGCATGGAAACAAAGTTGGCTGAGTGACAGGAATACAGGCTAATGAATGAATGATTATTTTCATGACTGTATGAGACTATTCAGTGGATCCTCCAGGCGTCTGTTAGGGTTCCACTGCTTTTCTTCATTATACAATATGAATGGGTACAATTTTAAAATTTATAGACAATTCAAAATATGCAAGTATCATGAACTGTGAGGTGGATAATGATAAACTCCACAAGAATACAGACAGGCTGAAAGAATGGGCAGAATCATGGCAGATAAATTGTAATGAATTGAAGTTTAACATGTTAAGACCATAAGATGTAGGAACAGAAGTACGCATTCAGCACATTGAGTCTGTTCCACCATTCAAAGAGATCATGGCTGATCTGATGGCTGATCCGCTTTCCTGCCTATTATCCATAACCTCTGATTCCCTTACTGACAACCCAGTAATTAACAACCCAGCCTCAACAGCCCTCTGCGGTAAAGAATTCCACACATTCACTATCCTCAGAGAAGAAATTCCTCCTCATCTTTTGTCTTAAATATATGACGACTTATTCTGAGATAATGCTCTTGAGTGCTAGACTCTCCCTCAAAGGGAAACAACCTTTCCATACCTACCCTGTCAAATCCCTTAATATATTTTGTTGTGAAGAATATATTTTGTTGTGACAAAATCAAATATAAAGGGTACAGTTCTAAAAGTAATACACAAACAGAGAGACTTGGGATATATGTGCAAAAATGACTGAAGGTGGCATGGCGGGTTGGGCAACTGATTACAAGGTAAGTGGACTTTGGGCTTTATAAACAGAAGCATACAGTATTGAAGCTATAATCAACCTGCACAAAGCTTTGATTTTGCTTCAAATGGAGTATTGTGCCCAATTCCCAGCACCAAACTTTAGAAAAGTATGTGAAACTTTACAGAAGGTGCAGAAAATACTTAGCGGGATTGTTCCAATGATGAAATACTTAGAGACACATGGAAGTATTTGAGAAGAACTCCAGCTTCTCTAACAAAACATTGAGGCCAAATTTGATTGAAACTTTCAAAACTCATGATGGGGCCTAGACAGGGTGGCCAGGAATTGTTGCCATAGAGTCACGCAGCCATACAGCATGGAAACAGATCATTCAGTCCAACTACTCCACGCCAACCATGTTCTCAAACTAAACTAGTCCTACTTGCCTACTTTTGGCCCATATACCTCCAAAACTTTCCTATTCATGTACTTATCCAAATATCTTTTAAATGTTGTAACTGTACCTGCATCTATCACTTCTTCTGCCAGTTCATTCCACCTAAGAACCAACATCTGTGTAAAAAAAGTTGCCCCCATGCCCTTTTTAAAACTTCCTCCTCTCACTTTAAAAAATATGCCCCCTAGTTTTGAACTCCCCCATTCCAGAGAAAAGACCCTTGCTATTCACTTTTTCTATGCCCCTCATGATTTTGTACATCTCTATAAGGTCATCCCTCAACTTCCTATGCTCCAGTGAAAAAAGACCCAGCCTATCCTTATAAGTCAAACCCTCCATTCCCAGCAACATCCTGGTAAATCTTTTCTGAACCCTCTCCAATTTAATAATATTCTTTCTATAGCAGGGCAACCAGAACAGCACAGGGTATTCCAGAAGAGGCCTCACCAACATCCTGTACAACCTCAACATTGGCAGAAGTGTCAAGAATCAGTGATACTAATGTGAACTGATGTAAGTTCCAAAAAAAAGTCATATTAAACTTGAAATGTTAATTTTGTTTTTCTCTCCACATATGCTGGTTTCTCCAGCTCTTTGTTTTGGTACCGATGTGAGTGATTGGTAAAAGAAAAATGATGACCTAAGGAAAAATCTTTTTTATGTAGTGAGTAACACTAATCAGGAATGCATTTCTAAGACTGTGGTGGATGCAGATACAATTGTGGCTTTCATAGGATAAAATGAAGACAAATATATTTGTAGGGGTCCTGGCAAAGCATAGGAGTGGGACTAGTTGTGTTGCTTTTGCAGAGAAACAATATGGACATGACAGACTGAATGGCCTCATTCTGTTTGTGTAACCAATCTCATAATTCTATGATCTGTACCCTCACCTCACCAGTTTATTTATGACTTCTTGCATTTAACTGTTATGACTGAGAAAGTCCTTTGGTGTCTAATTTCTAGCTCGTTTGCTTGAATTTCTAAATTTGCTCATTAATTTTCTGTCTTTAATTTCCAACTTTGCTTCCCTTCCTTCTTAAGTTATGGCAAGGTTCCAAACCCTGCTAATTGAGAGTAGAGACTGTATGAGAAATTAATTCCATATTTGAAATTAAATCTTTAAAGATTAGTACTGACCACATGTTTTTCTAGAAGTTGTTATATGTTTTACAAACATGGCATAATTGCTCTTTGTGGATACAAATTTACCAATATGCATTCATCTCTTGAACGTTAAATGGGTGAGGTGATGATTATAAACAAGTAGGAACATCAACTTTGACAAAGTGAGTTGTGAAACAAAAGTCCATTTCATAGCTTCTAACTGTGAGTTGTTTATATTCATCTTAATTTGAGATATAAACAGTCTTATTACCATTTATGATTGAAGTTTCAGAAGTCCAACCACCAGACAGGATGGAAATAAAAGTGGTGTCATTTGCACCAGTAATGAAGATCTTGTCAGTTGTCAGCGGTAGAAATACAACATCCAAAGCAATTTCCTGATTTAGATCTGTCAAAGGTGACACAATAGTGTTGAAAAAAAATCAGGTACAGATAGTTCTTACTGATCAAAGCCATAAATACTTACCAACAATCGTCAATGCATAGTAACCATTACTCCAAGCAGTGGCAAAATCTCTAGCACAATTAGAGGAATCAAATAGTAATGAAGAACATCTTGATGATTGGAGGTTATGCTGGCTCATTATTGCTTCCTTTTTTGCATACTCAAATTTTTGTGGACAACTTTCAAGAAGGAGATGGCCAAATGACAAGAATTCTTTCACTCGACTTTTAATCTCTGACCACTTTGAACTTTCCCATGACCAATTTAAGGATTTCGATTTTGGAACTTCATCCATTTCAGAGATATCTAAAAGAGAAGGTTAAAATATTCTTTATTGAAAGGAAATAAATTCAAGCATACTACAGCATTTAATCTAGCACTGAAGCATTAAATTCTGCCTAGAAACATCATGCAATCCGACCAAAGACATCTTTCCCTCCCCACCCTTATCTGCTTTCCGGAGGGACAACTCTCTCCGTGACTCCCTTGTCCGCTCCACACTCCCCTCCAGCTCCACCACACCCGGCACTTTTCCCTGCAACCGCAGGAAGTGCTACACCTGCCCCCATACCTCCTCCCTCACCCCCATCCCAGGCCCCAAGAAGACTTTCCACATCAAGCAGATGTTCACCTGCACATCTGCCAATGTGGTATACTGCATCCGCTGTACCCGGTGTGGCTTCCTCTACATCGGGGAAACCAAGCGGAG